TTGACGCAATGTATTGCTAACACCCCTGACACATTTTATTTTAAATAGCTTATAAATCCACGATAACGTCCAACCATGGCAGGTGCTCCATCTGTAGCTACTGATATATTTGATAAAGGAATTGCCTTTTCAATGAAGTAATCCTTCAAAACATGAAATATTGATTCACCTTTAGTGTCGGTTATCAAAGTTCTTGCGAAGAGCAGTTCTTCGTAGATTTCTTGATTCATAATAAAACGAACATATGCCAATAATAATGCTGCATTATCAGGTAAAGTTGACTCGTCCAGTTGTATAGAGAAATGGGTCGTTTGCAAATAATTACATAAGAAGCTTTCAATATCAGAACTCATTTCATCAATACGTCTTTCAACAGTATTGATGCTTAAGGGAATTATTTTAATGATATCAGATGCAGGTTTGTGTAAAACAGTTTTTAAAACCTCTTCAACGGCTGGCAAAATTAACTTCTCTCCGATAGTATGCGGTTTTCCGGATTTTGCTATAAGTAACGAGATATTGTAAGACGCCCGCGAACCATCATCATTTCTTTGTGACGTCGAAGCTAACATTCTGTCCAGTGTAGGTCTCTTCTGAAATTTATCTTTGAGTGTTTGAAAGTATTTCAAATCTTTCTCTGTTTTATCAGAGTGGCATCTTCTCAGATGATCTTGCAGTTTAGATGGTTTCATAGCGTCATTGCCCAAAAACTTTGTTGCATAAAATGCACATAGGCGATTGTTTGTGCGGCAATGATGTAATGTAGCCAAATTTCAAATAATCAACACTGTACTGTCTACATTTCTTTTTAGATTCGGACATGGCATCAGTCATCTGTGGGTAAAATTAAATTATTTAAATAAGACAGAAAATCCAGCAGCTGTATATTAAAAAATATTTTTCTTGAAACATTCCATAATTCGAACATCTTCCTGCAACAATTAGCTCGAATTACGGAGATTGCACTGTAATTATATCACCGATTGCTAAAACTTTCAAAAAGAAACTATTGAGGAGTACTCGTGTAATTTTTCATGATTGAATATTTAACTACTAATAACTAAAGTCATAATTGGCGTAATTTATATATTATATAAAATAATGTACTTACTTTTCTCTAGCTCTCTCAAATAAAATAACACTGACTCACTATAATTTGTGTGATATACTATCTGTTTATATTTTTTAAAATATTTTCTTAGCACTTTCCTTTTCAAGATTCAGGAAACGAATAAACGTATTTGTCCCACATTCGTATTTATAGAGTGACGAATTGAACAAGTCAGTGCAAGGTAGCGAAGCTTTGAGACTGCGACTCTCAGGTTTTTACAAGTTTAAAATGTATTGCCACCACAAAGCAAATACCAACATCCTACAACTTACACAATTTTATAAACATATATAATAAATTTTTTACTTCATAGGTACTTTTATAAATAATGTATATGTTTTGATATTATAAGATAGTATGATGTAAGTAAATAGGTACTATCAGTGTATGTGTTGAGATCCACTATCGTGGACCCCCATATTCATTTCATGGACCCCCAAATTTTTTTTCGCTGACGTAGACCCCTTGCAGGTTGTCATAGACCCCTAGGGGTCGATATAGACCACTTTGGGAATCAATGATCTAACCGCTGCAATCAGTACACAAACACTGTGACATATGATTTATAGCATAACCCGCTGCCCTATCAATACAAATTTAAGATACAGGTCGCCTAGCCATGGGGATGCAGTGGTCGGGATGAATATCACGGCAGCAACTGATGATTTGGGCATGCCTGGTAATGACGTATGAAGTGAAACTTGCTAACTTCACAAATTTGAAGATTTTATACAATTTGTTTGAAAATGATGAAAGATATGTCTGATTTGGCAGGGTAATGTCAAGTCAGTCAAACGAGAATACAAAAAATTGTTGTAATAAATTCATTATTACTGGGTGTTCTTGTTTCTATGTCACTTAGTATATCTATCTATCTATTTTTTGCTGTCGTTATTTACTTAGTGAGGAAAAAGCTACTTAAATAATTGCAATTTCCCGATCTATTAGTTAAATAAGCTTCGTTCTTCCATTCTGTTCTCGCTCAAACACGTCCACTCTTAAAAGCCCGGTTTTCATTCCGTTCCTCGTGTTGCGAAACTCAAATAAAGAGCTGCGCCGCGCCAGCATGAAAAGTTGTCTCGTCGTTCTGTGGACAACACCTAAATTTCCATTTAGCAGCTCAACTTCCTCAACTTCGGAGAAGTTGTCGGTCGTTGCCGTAGCGCACGGCTTTTGTTAATTTCCAAGGCGGAGTTAGGATGTGTAACTCCGGACTGAACGAGGAAATATTGGAGCTAGGTGACGGTATATTCAAGTCTGTATGCTGAATGTAGGGAATGACATAGAGTTTACTTTTCTAACAGAGTAAAAAGCGGTACTTTCAAAGTTATAGCGAATTAGCGGACAGGCAGATCGAAATAAAAAAATAAAATACATCATTTGCAAAAATTTTCGCGATTAGAATATTTCCTCACCAGTAGCGAGGAAAGTAAACATCAGTAGGGAACGCCACGCTGCTTATTTTCATGTAGGGTTGGGATTCAGGTGGGATGTGTTAATCAATGGTTATGGTTATAATTAAGAAAGGACTGTCTTCGAAAGCTTCTAGAAACATAGTACGCCTAAACTTACCGTTAATGCCTCTCTGTCCTTTCATCCGTCTGCCAACAGATGGCGAGACTAGCGCCAAGGGCCTTTCTGGCCTGATGGAAGGCCTTTTTTCAGGCAGCAGCACTGGCGTAGTTGGTTCCACGATTGTTTCTGCCCAGACTGCGTCTACCATGGAGTCTATGCTCGCTGATCGAGGTAGTCTGTTGTTGATCAACGTATTCCGTCTGCAAAAAAATAGAAATATATCGCAAGCCCTAACACAGAATAGTTCGGACATTATCTAATGTTTTCTTAAAGTTTAATTATTTTTTAGGTTACTTTTAGATGACATTGAAATATATTGTTTGGACATCATATTAACAAAGTTATGATGAAGTTATGTGATAGTAAACTATGAAACTAAACTAATATTGATAACAACAATTTTTGGCTGACACAAATGTTTGGACGAACCGTTCCAATAGCTCGCTGCATCTCCTTTGCCTTGAAAACAGCATTAATTTTGCCTTTGATTGTTAAGGTTTTCGCAGTAAAGCGCCTTAAAAGAATCCCATATATCTTGTAATTTTACTCGTAAATCAGAAATGTTTTATTGTGGATCATTTCTTAACTACTGCTTCATTTTTTGCCATACAGTTTCGATAGTATTTAAATCAGGACTACTGGAAGACTAGTCAAGGACAGAAATATTATTATCCTGCAACCATTTTTTCATGGTTTTGGCCGTATGACATGAGGCCCCATCTTGTTGAAAAATAAAGTTTCTATCAGGCGATAAAATTAAAATATTTTCCAGGTTTTTCTCTTGGCCGCTTTGGTAATAACTTTTTTTGCCGCAAATTTCGTCGATCTATAGGTTCCCAGATACAGTTATAAAATGAAAGAGAGCAGAATAACTCATCGCTAAAGCGGTGATTTTTTCTGTAGTTGTGTACGAGTCCCTTCCCACTTCAGTTGGCCCAACTATTGAAATCTTAGTTTTTTCTTATCAAACACAAATAATAAAAATGTAGCAGGGTTTTGTATGTTTAAAATATTAACAATGAATATTTTGATAATATATAGTAGAAAACACCAACTTTATCACTCCCTAATCAAATTTGCAGCATAAAAATAACACATGTTGCAATTACAGCATATCAACCTATTTTCATTTCAATGCAAAATAAGTCTATAACGCAAAGGTGGCTGTGAAAAATAAAAGCCATGAGAATTGTTTTTATTAATCACAGCTGTCAGAATACGTTTAAAATAGTTTTGGGTAGTTAAGGTTTTCAGAATGGGTAGAGGAAAGGTTATTAGTGAGAAAATTCGGTTACTCATAATTAAATGTTTTAATTCTGCGAAATCTAACTCAGAAATTGCAACTTTGTTAGACTTATTGCGGTACAGTGTGAGAAATATTATTAGAAGATATAACGTAACTGGTTCAGTTAATATTAAGCCACGATATGTGAAAAAAAGTAATATCACAAATGCCGACCGAAAAGCATTATGAAGAATAATCGTGAAAAACAGGCGTACCAATTATTTACAATTAAGCGCTCTGTGGAGTGACGCTGTTGGAAGGAGAATTTCGAGGTCCACAACTCGTAGAGAGGCCCACAAACTGGGATTTAGCACTTGCAAGGTAAGTTTTCTTATAAAAAAAAGTGAAGTAAAAACCCTAAAGTTGCACAACTTGTTTATAGGCCAGAGAAAAGCCACTATTAACTCCACTGCAAAAGAAAAATCGGCTTAGATGGGCTAAAGAACATAGACAATAGACAGCTTAACAATGGTGTGCAATACAATGGAGTGATGAGGCCCGATTCGAAGTTTGTGCTGGTGACAGTCGCAGTAGAGTTATTTGCAAAAAAATGAAGCATTCCATGTTGACTGTCTGAAGAGAAAAGTGAAATTTCCAGCATCCATTATGGTCTGGGGCAGTATGTCATCAAAAGGAGTAGGAAAACTTCATTTTAACACTCTGACTGCCATGTCAGTCTTTTTCGACTGACAACAAAAACCCAACTTGCGCCGTGGTCATTTCGTGCATTCGACTGCCGCCACGCCGCGCGTTGTTTTGGATGGTGGGGATACGATTATACGTCGGATGATGCATATTCAGTGTTTATTTAGCACTGAGCACGTATACGTCACGTTTGTTGGTGTTTCCAGAATCGACTGACACGGCGTGGAAGTACAAGATATTTTTTCAATTTTGTGAACATCACTGTTGGCTCAATAACTAACATAATGTAAGTATTGTTTAGATGTGTGTAAGTATGTTTGTGTGTATGCGTATGATAAAGTTTAAATATTCGAAAATGGAAACATTAAATACCTTTTTTTACAGGAGTTGGAATTTGAGAAAGCCACTTTCTTCTCTAGAACTTCAGCAAGAAGTGGATAAAATAACCGAGGATTTTTCCGACTTCTTAGATGTTGATCCCGATTACAATAACTCTGGCAGCGAGTTGAGTGGGGAGTCCAATAATGAATCCAGTCCATCAGATGATGACGAATTAATACAGGATGAAGGTCACGAACCCGAGCCGACAGCATTAGATCCCTCAAATAAACAATTTGATTTTGTTTGGTACGACTACTGTGGGAATCATCAAACATTTCAATTCACCGGTAATGAAGGTATTCAAGTAGATGTAGCAGACAATTTTACACCCCTCAATGCATTTCAACTATTTTTTTCGTCTGATCTAATAGCTCTCATAGTGGAAGAAACAAACCGCTATGCGGAATTTACAATTTCGAATACAAAACTAACTCGGAAATCAAGACTAAATCAATGGAACCCTACAAATGAACTGGAAATTCAGAAATTTGTTGGTTTATATAGTTGGATGGGTCTAAATAGTCGACCTACTCATGCATCATATTGGTCCACCGATGTATTATATAAAAATCAAGTATCTCAAGTATTATCAAGAAATCGTTTCGAAATGCTTTTGAGGATGATTCATTTTAGCAGCAGGGAACACGAGAATAACAATGATAGACTCTACAAGATCAGACCTGTTCTTGATATGTTGAATAACTCTTTTCAGCAGACTTATACAGTTGGAAAAGAAATGGTAATAGATGAAAGCATGATACCATGGAGAGGCAGACTGAAATTTCGCCAGTACATACCATCCAAGAGTCACAAATACTGGGTAAAACTTTTTAAATTATGCAGTCCAAATGGTTATACATGGAAATGTCTAATTTATACTGGCCGTAGTGAAGAACAGCGTACTGCTGGACTTGGGATTGGTGAATCTGTCGTATTGATCTTGACTGAAGGATTATTGAACGAAGGAAGAATTCTGTATACTGACAACTTTTGTACTAGTTGTCCATTAGCCAGAATTCTTCTAAGCAAAAGTACACATCTAGTAGGTACGCTTAGACGGTCCAGAAAATACCTCCCAAAAGATGTCACGACCAAGAAGCTCAAAAAACATGAGTACATTGCGCGAGAAACTAATGTTGGGATCGTCGTTTCCAAATGGAAAGATGCTAGGGACGTACTTATGTTATCTACAGTTCACGGAATTGGCATGAGAGTTCCGCCACCTTCGAGTAAACGAAAGAGAGCATTTTCTCCAAGCTGCAGTAACGAGGAGCCCACTCCAAAAAAGAAAAAAGAAACAAACAAAACCCCAACATTGAAACCAGACGCAATTATTGCTTATAATAATGGCAAGTGTGGTATTGACAAGTCCGACCAAATGGCGTCCTACAGTACATGCAATCGTCAAATGGTACCGAAAGGTATTTTTTGAGTTGCTGACGGGCATGTCGATGGTAAATGCATTCAATATATACAAAGAACATTCCAAATCTAAATCTAACATAAATAAGTTTAGAGAAGATGTGGCCAGGACTTTATTATTTCGAAATAATGCTAGTATAATCAGCCTAACAACTGTAAAAGTTGCACATTTATTGAAAAAATCAGAGGAGAAAACTCGAAAACAATGTAAACTTTGCTATATCAATCTAACAAAAGAAATATCAAGAACAGAAGCAAGAAAAAAGTAAGAAAAGTACGAACATATTGCGATGGATGCGATGGGAAACCTGCGATGTGTCAAGAGTGTCATATTAAAAATCATAGTGTCTAAGTTATCTATTTTTTCTTGTTAGTCCAATAAGTTTGAAATAAAAATGTTTGGGTTTTCTTGCTAATACAATAAGTTTGAAATAAAAATGTTTGGTTAAAATACAATACCTGGAATTTTGTTTAGGCGCCGCCAGATTTTTTAGACTTACAAAATCAAGCGCCGTTATCCAAATGGAGATTAACAATTAAATATAATGTCAGTCTAAACAGCCTGAGGAGGCCATGTATGATTCTGGTGCTGTCAGACATAAATGACTGACGCCGCCAAATAATGCCTAACAGTATGTCAGTCATAAACGAGTGACAGCACAAAATAAAGCAAGAATAAAATAGTATGCCGGCAGTCAGAGTGTTAATGATGGAAATGTGGATGGAAGAACGTTTGACATCCGGCCAAGATTTTGGGTTTCAGCAAGATGGTGCAGCGTGCCATAACTCAAAAAAGGCTATAAAATGGATGGAAGAAAATAATGTACCACTTTTGATATGGGTTTCTAGCAGTCCAGATCTGTCACCTATTGAAACTTTGTGGCACGAGATGAAAAAGGTTCTACGACAACATCCTGCTCGTACAATCACCGAACTGAGACAAAAGCTTCGAGAAATATGGGATTGTTTTACACCAAATTTTTGCCAAAACTTGGTTAACACTATGCCCCAAAGAATTTCAGCCGTAATAAAAAATAAAGGTGATGTTACTCAATGGTAATCTTTCAATTGTTGCTTTGTTAACTTTGCGCATTTATTCGATTATTGTTTATTTGTTCAGATGTTCTATTAGTTATAGGTCTAAGTGATTTCAAATATGCATTTTTTAGGACTAGAGTGTATCTAAAACGTTTTTGAGAAAATAAATTGTTTTAGAAGTAAATAGTTTCGTTTATAAAGGCATATTTTGGTACAAATCTCGAAGTGGGCCAACTGACGTGGGAAGGGGCTCGTATTATCACCGTACTCAAAAACACACCGCTTTAAGGGTGGCGTACGATGAATTGTCTCCAATTTTGGGCCTATGCCATAGAGATTGTCAGTACCTTTGTTCTTGGTTAATGTTTTGTATAAATCAGACAGAAAGGAAGGAAGAAAGGTGGGCAAATGTGAGAGGGTGTTTTTTTCATAGTCGTAGTAGTTGCTAAAAATAAATGTATCTTTGGGATTTGTCAGAATATATGAAACTATCGGTATCAGTATACAGTAAAGCTATTAGCATTTACTACCCGGTTTAAATCCATTCTTCTGAGGGCCATTGTATTTTCATCCTGTATATTTCCACCCAACCGGAAAACAATAAAACTGGAAAATTCGTTGGCTGGCATGCAGAGCAAGAATCGCAATTGTGCTCTTTCCAGAACGTTGCTTGGTGTAGGTGATGATGAGTTTCAGTTGATTAAACACGCAATGCCCAGCTGTTATTGTTTGTATTTAATCCGTACGCGCGTTGTGTGTATTTCTGTTCATATGATGCCGGATTTATCTAATATTATGACTATTGAGAGTGGGATTCTTTCACATTTTGGAACCATGCATATTTTCGAATTACATTTAAACGGTGGGAGATTTTTAAAAATTCTCATGCTATGGTACTATCCCAACTAGCGAAGTAGTGGTATAAGCTTTTGGTAAAAGAACCGTTCAGCCATAAAAGCTCTCTATTGTTGTTGCCTGAACACAAAAATGCTGGCTTAATGTTGTGTGGAATGCAGATTTGCTTTCTGCAACATATTTGCTCTAAAATGAAGTGTTTAAAATATTCTTATAGCATAGTTATACAACACGTTATAGGGCAAATTTTTAACTGTTGCATAAACGTTTATACAACTATTTTATACGGCATATTTGCACGTTAGTCAAAATGGTTGTGTTGTGGCATCCATGGTAACGTTTATAAAACAAACCCGAGCCTTGTTGCTTTGCTGTGCAATTTACTACATTAGCCGACAAATTGCTCCCAACGGAAGCACTTATACAACTGTTGTTTAGTAACTGTTAAAGGCTGTACATATGCTAAATATGTTGGTAAACAACTTCCCCATAACCTAACTTTCTGCTGTCATATAGTACAACATCTGCCCTACTTAATCTGCAAGACAATATTTTAAGTGCCTTAGATAAGAAAATGGCACTAGCCTTAATCTCTATAGACTATTCGAAAGCCTTTGACAGCATCAATCATAAATTATTACTTGCTAAATTAAATTACATAGGTCTTGACAGTGTATCCCTTTCATTTTTCGACAGTTACCTTCATCAAAGAACTCAGTGTGTTTTTCTCAATCAAGAAATGTCTCAAGTGACAATAATTCCCTCAGGCGTACCTCAGGGCTCTGTATTGGGGCCGCTTCTGTTCCTCATATATACGTTCGACTTAAGCAAAAGTATTGATAATTCTCATGTCCAGTCATTTGCAAACGATACGCAATTGCTTCATTATTTTAACCCAGATAATGTCAATAATACTACTCAAATTTTACAAAACGATGTTAATAAATTAATTAAATACTCTTTAGATCACAATCTACTTATTAATCCACAAAAATCTAAAATGTTATTATTTTGCGCACAAAGAAAAACATACAATGTAACACAGCTCTTGAACATTCAGATAAATAACCAAATCTTACAATTTTCTGATTCTGCAAAAATTCTTGGTGTTGTTTTTGATACAAAATTAAGGTTTCTTGAACATGTTAAAAGTCTATCTCAGAAAACCTACCTACGGCTGCGCACTCTTATAGCAAACAGGTATTTACTAAATTTTAAGATGCGTAAAAAACTATGTGAAGCATTGGTCATATCTATACTAAATTATTGTAATATCGTATACTATACTTGTTTAGACAATTTCACTAAAAACGTTATTCAAGTGATTCAAAACAATTGTATACGATTCATTTTTGGCTTACGTAAATTTGATCATGTATCAGCGAAATATCCCGTTCTAAACTGGTTAAAAATTAATGACATGGTCAAGTATCACTATTCAGTTTTTGTTCACAAATTGCTACTCACGTCTAAACCTTATTACTTGAAGAAAAAAATTTCATTTAATAATGATGTTCACTGTAGAACTCTCAGAGAAAATAATATTAGAATACCCCAGCATACACTTTTTAAACGCAGTTGCTATTATTTATAATGACTTTCCTAAAGTATATAAAGAATTTTCAATACCTGTCTTTCGACAAAAAGTTAAAACATTATTGCTCAACCCTCCAAACATATAATTTACGTAATCATTCATTTCTTTTTTTATTCCATCTTTAATTCAGATTAATAATTTTTTGGTGCATTTGGGTTTGGATAGTATGCCTTTTTCTCTTTTTTTAAATTTTACTTTCGATGTAATAAACCAAATCTGTTTGTGGATAGTGTATCCTTTTGAACATCTGCTAGAGACTATATGGTTAGGTGTAAGAGTAGCAGCATGCTAAACTTCGCCATATAAGTCTGACATTTGGCTATACTACAATGTATTTGTGGATAAATAAAGATGTCTATTATTATTATTATATTTTTGTAAAATCCTAAAATGCCATAATCAATGTTTTAAGACAAACAACGCATGCATATTGGTTCAAAAGGTTTTATCAACTGTTCAAACAGACGATATAGATCTGGTACAAATTCTGGGTAAATCATTCGACTCTGTCGGTATTTCATTTCAGTCATTTGTCAAATTGTTGTATAACACCTGCAGGCAAGACCAAAATATTCTAATAACCTAAAGACAACATGGACGATGCCATGATTGTACACAGCCACCCGCCATATTGGGCAACCATTTATTCCTCTATTTAATATTAAATAATTATGTTTCAGTTCGAAATTACAGATATAAAGTGATAAACATTAGTGTAATTGTGTCTAAATATAGGATTTGTGCAGATAAGTTCAGTTTTCCATCTTAAAAATCAAGACATACTTTTGATCATTGTCAAAATATGAATCAAATACGATGCCCGTAGAAATTGGGTAACTAATTTGCACGATAATCACAATAAAATTTGCTGCGCAAGTAATTCAATAGCCCTATATCACACTGTAGAAGTTTATCATATACCTGTGTATGAAATTCACAATGGCCGATATGTAAGTAAACAAGATGACTGTAATGTGTTAGTTATATATTCTTCACTTCGTCCATACAATACATAAGAAATAGTTTGGTTGCAATAAAGTAGAATCACGTAACAGAATAGTTGTATAGTTGACAAAAACTGAATCTTGCACTGACGCAAATGTCCTATAGCGGTTGCAAGAGGCTTGTATAGCTGTTCTAAGAGGGTTTTGCCAATGTTCTTACAGTATATATGTACAATGCTGTTTAAGGAATACTGTATAATCATTCTTGCAACTCTAATAGGAGTGATAATTGTTAGTTGGGATAGCTATTTGTGCAACACATATAATGTTTCCTTTACGTTATTTTTGACAACAATTGGAAATGACGGCGCTAGGAAACAGAAGTGCTTAGGACCACTAAAACCGTGGTGAGCAGTATCGACGATCGTGACAGGTATAGTTGCAGTCTCCGTTCTTGGCGGTTACGTCACCAACGCCATATGAAATAAGTAATCAGATCCAGTATCCGTACCACGGGCGGAACACTGCGCCGACTAATCTTCAGCGCATCTGCTACTCTTTCCAGTACGCATGAAGTGGGTAACAGAGGAAATACTATAATAAATTTAGCACGAGCTGTCGGCCGTCTGCAATAATCGCATTTCCGGGCATTGCACAATTTCATATTGAAGGTTGATAACAGGACAACTCGAATTGCACGCCGATATCAAGTCAGTTGACACTGACAAATATGATTGAAGGGCAATCATACGTAACGACAAACTTTTCTAGATGGAGACACATAACTAAAAAGGGGCAGGTTGCATGTGTATGTATGAGGGAGATGGCGATCTATAAAGGGATACTGGTAGCCTTACTTTGACCCGCCAAGAACGGTGACTTGACTTTAGCTTATTTTTTTATTTTGACGTGAAGCTAACACTAAATTTCAAAACATATTTGGAAAGTTTCCGTAATATTGGGTAAATGATTACTTCAAACCGGCCAAGAAACGAATAGGCTTAGGTACATGAGATCACAAAACGACAAGTGGTCACAAAACCAACAAAACAAGAATAATAAGCTAGCTGCCACATTGCCACATATATAAAAGTAGGATAATCTCGCTGAACTGCTAAAGCTCAGAATAACGATAATCATAACGAAGTAGCAAAATAAAAGAACTAAGAACCTCGATATAAATTCGTGTCTTGGGTAAATCCAGTGCGTATATTCCAAATTCGTTGCCAGTTTGGCGTTCGAACTGACGGGGGTTCAGGGACGGTTTATTTCTACCCTCAGTTTGGCCTCAAGATACTTCAGAGTTTTGAACAATCGTAACAACGGAAAAGAAATTAGAAATTTTTCTTTGAGGATGTTCTAAGATTTAAACGTTTACTATTGAAATCAAGTAAAAAAATTGCGTATCTGCAATCTCTACCAGAACCCACGGTTGCAGTACATAGGGGATGGAGATCTTGAATCTGATGTCAGTTTTTCTCTGAAGTCCCTGACAGGCACCGAAGGGGGGCGTGAAATCACGAAAGATTAAAATCAGCCGTGCCATAATAATGTTTATTTGTGAAATACAGCAAGTGTGAAACAAAACAAATTGTCGTCGAGAACGCAGGAACCCGTACACGGGTTTTAATTTACATGAAATATATGTCATATCCAGTGTACCCGCAAAGTTGGGGTTTTCCTTTACACGACGTGTATATCTTGAAAAAATAATCAGATTTTCTTAGTAGCATATGCACCAATGTCTTAACCTGAACCAAACCGAAGCCGGTCCTGTCCTATCCCTCGATCACGTCCACAGCGTCAGCGCCAGAGTACAGTTATACGACACGATACACATACACTGAAGATAGGCAGTTGCGCATGTGGGCGGAGCTTGGTGACGTCACCTTGAGAGTTGTCGGTTCATGGTTACCAGCGGCAGGATTGTCGTAACGTTACTGCAGTGCACGTGTATCGTGGTTAATAGTATATTGTACGATTTGTTGGTATTTTTTGGTGCTTTTGTGACTTGTTGTATTAGTTATACATATTTTATATACCTTGTGTGGTTGAGATATTGATAAAGGTATTAAAAAACAATATTACAAATAACTCAAAGTTCAAAATCTTAGAAATTCCATTCTTCAGCACCCAGCGAATATAAATGTAATAGTTCTGACATTCGTTCCACAGATAATCTGTTTCGGCTTTGGCAAAGTATATTTAGAGCTTCAGAAAAGGATCTCTCTGAGCGAACTGTTGTGCCAACAATAGAGAGATATTTATTAACCAGTTCTTTAAATATCTCCGAGGAAGAACTGGAGCTATTCCAGTACAAAAAGGGATTCGAATTTAGGGGTATGATATGACTATTTAAATACAATTGTAGCTCAAGATCAGTATCTGATTTAGTATAGTATAGTTTTTCATGGTAGGCCCAAACACTCTCAAATTTTTCAACAATAAAAATATGATTTTGCCCTACTTTTTCAGTATTTATTTCCTTCTTGCGCAACTAAAATGACTGGTTTAGGAAAGTGACTGCATATTTGCACACGAAATTGGACTATTAAAGTGCAATCATTTAAAACAAGGGTGCAGGATATTTGGGACAGCTAAAAGTTTAATCTGCTTTATGCTTCCAAAACGTTTTGAAAGCCCCTCAAAAGAGTCAAATTTTAAATTTTTTAAACAGGCACTTTTATAATAAAATAAAATTTCACATAATACCTCCCCAGTTCAAAAATATCCCCGAAACAAAGTAGAAAAGTAATCTGAAGTTAGTCACTATTTCTGACACAGTCCGCAATGAAAGATAACGATACTCGTGAAATGTATCGATACACCCAAGTATCGTATATAAAAGTATCGATCCAAAATATCGTGTATCGGAAGCAAAAGTATCGATACTTCAAAATATCGTATCGTATCGAACATCCCTACCCCGAACCTGAGTCCTACTCTGTAGAATCCTGCATTTGTTCGTAGTTTTACGGCCGGATGACCAATAGCTATTGCAACGCTTAGGCGGCTGCCGCTTTGCCGCGATGCATCTTTGTTGTGCCGGGGCATAAATGAATTACGAATAGGGTATAAATACGCTAGCAGACCGCAAGTCACGCACAACACATGGCCTACCGAGACGCTGATGAGTCGGGCCACGCGGAGGTTAGGGTTTAGTGGGTATTACGTGGTCTCCTCAAGACAACCTGGAGTCCCACACACGCCGTAGCTCGGGCTATGGTATGGTGCATAAACGCATTCCCCCCTCACCAAAAAAAAAATGGAAATGTCGCACAACGAAGCCGTATAGGTAATCGTATATAGGTTTCCAGACTAACTCTTTTGAAACCTGCGCTAGCGCCAGTTGGACTAATTCTCTGAAAAAACGTGGCAAAGAGCTGTTCGGTCGGATACATAGAGGATAGAAGAGCGCAACGCACCCAGAAAATTAACATGAAAGCCCGGCGTTCGCCGCATTTTATCACACACGCAGCTTCCGAAATAGCCGCCGATAATCCTGCGAGGGTTGGTCGATCTATTCAGGTTTGCCTGCTCTCTGTGTGGATATGTCGGATTTTGCACCCGCTCGCTAAACGAAACCTGAAACCTAACGCGCGCTACAGCTGGGAAAATCGTTGCTTTTAAATGGTTCGATGTGAGGGATATTTATAATTATTTCAAATGTCGTATGAATAACGTTATGATAGTCATTATTTAAATGGTGATACAGGGAGTTAAAAGAAACAAAAAGTTTCATATAACATGGGGGTCAAAACGGTATTTCTTAGAGAAAAGCGACTTTAAAGTAAAATAAAATCTCACAACGCCGCAATGCCAGACACAGATTACGACGGAACGCAGTGTAAATAAAGATGGAGTTTGTTGCTTTTGGCTCTTAGGTATTATTTCATTATTTGGTAATGTACTCGTAAAATGCAAGATTTGAATTCTGACGAGCTTCACCGTAAACTAACAACATGTCGGCGAACTCTTGATTCGAGAACATTGTAAATAAACACGACGACGTACGCGAACAAAAACAAAACAACACGCCCGATGCCCCATAACTAACCACTGTTACCGTTTGCGATCGATTGCCGGTTCGATAAGAGTGACGAATGGCCGACGCGCTGTTGTCATGTGTGTTTTAAATATTTAATTTAATGAAACTTACTTACTGACTACAAATTTTGGCTTAACTTAGAAAAACTTAATGCCATTTATTTGCTAATTACCCAATTTAAAAACGTTTTAGATTAGATTATAAAAATTAGTAAGATTGTGGTGATTGTGGTCGACATAAAGCACTTAAAGTTGTAAACTATAAAGCCAGTTAGACAAAAATCTGTTGCCTTTTGGACCATGGGTCATATGGACCTTTTGACTTGTTGACTACCATAACGTTTACACGCTGTATTTTGGAACGATACGGTCAGGGAACATAACACTATTTCCTACCTTACCGGAAAACATATTAACAGCTGTGTACATACAGGGTGTCCCGAAGATAGATCACAGTATCGTTTTAAAGCAAATATGTGGACCGGGATTCTAAATGGGAGAATCATCGTATCCTTTGGGGTGCCAGAGTTCATGAATGGCGAAATTTAATTAGACTTTTTACAAAATCCTTTACCAAATTTATTGACATGCCACTTTGACACTTTGATGCCGTATACGTGAGCGGATGGATAGGGTGGTCTGGTACAATTTCCTGGCCAGCCCGTTCACCAGACTTGAATCCACTCGTTTTGTTTTACTCGGCAGCGGTAAAAGAAAAAGCTTACTCAAAGCTTACCGAAAGTTTAGCTGAGCTACAGGACAGAATAGCTGAATTTGTTAATGATGGAAGATTGGACCGTCTGATAAGCAGATCATTTTCAAGAAGATCTTTTCTTCAGCTTCTGTTGCTGCTGAAGGAAGACATGAATTTAATAAATACATTCACCCCGTTTAGGAAAAGATTGAAATTTGCAGTAATGGGAACTAGAGGGTGTAGATCTTTCTGATTTCCTTAAAGCCTTATAATTTGAAAAGTACATGACTTAGATTTTTCTATATTTTTATGATAACTATTATGACTTGGCTTATCCCCGTTTCTGGCTTGATGTCCACGTCTGGGCCACCCTGTATAATAAGAGATATAGCGCAATCATATCCAGGCTCAGAATCGGACATAGTCTATCCCCACCCCACTTATACAGGATTGGACTGGCAGACACTCCAACCTGCAAATACAAGCCAACAAAAATTGCAGATCTGAATCACAGATTCTTCGAATGCAGCAATAAGTGTATGCAACGCAAATCTTATTGAACATATTAATCGATAATAAACATCAGATTCCTGTAAATATAACTTCCCTACTGGCTAGTGAAGACAAAGATACACTTGACGCTATTTTGGAATAAAAAAAAACTAAAATATCCATATAAACTATAAGTACCTGAAAAAATTCTGTAACACAGAGACCTAAGGTCTGATGCCATAACTGGTAGAAAAAAAAATGATTCGATTTACTGTGTCGACTTCGGCATTAATTAACGCATGCTTGACAGTCAATCACATACTTAATTCCGGCGCTCAAAAAGGGACATGGAAGGTACTAGCGCCATCTATGAGACAGTGGTGAAAGACACAAATGAATGATCTTCGCTCTATAAGTAGTTTACTAGTGCTATCAAAAGTTATCGAGATTATACTGGACCAACAAATAAGAGATTACTTAGCCGAGAACAATTTGTTACCCGGCTATCAATAATCAGGATTAAGGAAGGGTTTCAGTTGCGAAACTGATAAACATGACTGACGACATTTTCAAAGCAACATATTAAGGAAAAAACAACGCTCTCATGCTCTTGGACTACGCCAACGCGTTTGATAAACTAAATCAAGAAGTGTTATTATTTCACACTACATAGTCTGCTCTCATGCTTATGTGCCACTATTTAACTAACAGAAGACAATACGTAGAAACATATAAAAGGAATTCCTCCAAAGACGTCATCCCATCGGGTACACCACAAGGCTCCATTTTAGTTCCTCTAATTTTTGATATTCTACCCTCAACCTCTCCCAATGTCTCCGAAATGGTCAGATACTCAACTTTGTTTTTCTGTCATTCCTAACGAGAAACGTGATGCTTCGGTCATTATCAATCGAGATATTGAAATACTAGTTGTGCGTTCGGAAAATATAGTCTACAGATTATCGCTAGCAGATCATTTGGCAGGTTGAAAGGCAATATTGAGCCCACTTTTCGTGTCAAATTAAGAAGTGAATCTATACCTTGTTAAGTTACTGTAAGAAAATTAGGAGTAGAATTTGACTCGAGCCTCATATTGGTAAATGTAGGTACCTAGAGAGATTATAGTTCTCTGAAAGTTCTATATGCTCATCGATGTGTCCTCCCTGACAACTTAAAATATTGCCTAGTACTAAACCATTCTAAAATTTGGAATAAGGGTGTATGGTTTTGTTTAGACCAGATTGACATGGATAGAATTGAGCGTGCACAGAAGTTCTAGCTAAGATTCATTTACGTGCAACGAAAGTTTCAAAGAGTTTCGTAAGTTGCTTGTTGCAAATTGGTTGACTATGCGATGTGGACGTGAGTTACTAGAGTTAAATAAGGCTCAAGCGATCAAAGGCAAGTTTTTTTATACTACCACTCACGTTTTTCTGAGCTTTCTGAGGTAGATCTTTTTTTTTAAATCTGTAATACCTACAGGGCTGAATTCAGGCCATTTATAAATGCTTCCATCCCTTTTTGTAACATATACTAAGTGACATATAAATCCGAACACCCAGTTTAAATGGTTTTATTTTAATAAAAGTTGGTGGATGTATTTATCTTACTGTAAATAACAAGTGAAACAATTTTCAGCCTTATCAGTTGGACATTCCGGTTTTTATACTGCTTTTTTTAATTCACTAACGCTCTAAAAATGAATATTTCAGCCGAACTAAAGAATCAACGTTGGCGGATTTTCGTTCTTGACATCCTTTACGATCGGTTACGATGCCTAGACTACGGAGACCTGTACGATTTCGTCAACTTAGTGAGTTTGATAGGGACCGTATAGTGGGACTTCGGGAAGCTGGACTTTCTTTTCGGGCAATTGCAGCTAGAGTGCAAAGAAGTGTAGACACTGTGGTTAGGTGTTGTCAGGCATGGCTTCGAGAAGGCCGAACGCAAAGAGCAAGGGGCACTGGACGCCGCCGTAGAACAACAGACCGTGAAGATCACATCAGGGTGCATCCACACATTATTAAAGGTCAAAGGGCTTTAAAGCAGTGCAATCATTTTGAAATTTTTATCATTTACTTATTATGCTTCATTAAGTACTTATACAAAATTTTATTA